TATATATAATATATATAAACTCAAAGGTTGACATAGTGATCAATCAACGCACAGCCCAAACCACTGGACGAATCGGGCTGAAGTTTGGAATGCAGGTAGATGTTATGACGTAGGCATCCGGAAAGGATTTTGATTAATTCTACCCCCAAGAGGATAAAATAAGGGATGAAAGTTTGTATGAAACTTCGTCAATTCGAAAGTTTATATGAAACTTCGTCAATTTAATTGAAATTCGTCAATCAAGGGATGAAAGTTTATATGGAAGTTCGTGAAAGTTTATATGAAAATTCGTCAATCAAATTAAAACGATCGGGCTGAGACTTTGCTTGCATAAAACTACTATGACGTAGCCATCCCCTAAGAAAGGATTTTGGTAAATTCCACCCCTAAAGGGATAAATTAACGCGAGCGAAGCCGCGAGCAAAAGCTAGTTGTTAATAAATTACGATGTAGATATTTAGTTATTTATAATTCTTTATTGCACCAATATTATAAAGTAAATACATAAAAGAACTAGTATACCCGGCCATGCGTTGCTGCAGCTTGTATTATATTGAGATGTAAGCTATCCTCTTTAGAGCTGGATGAAATTGCACCCAATGTGAACAAATTGTTTAAAGAAAATCTAACTAAGTGTGAAACGTTGATGTTAGGTGTCTTATCCCAAAATTTCATCGAGTTTAATTAGTTATTGTAACAAATTCATATTAACACATTTTCTATTCAACGGCCCCCGGTGGTGTAGCGGTTGAGCACACTGCTTTATTTTCGATGGTCGCGGGTCCTATTCCTCGCACGGTACAATCATTTGTACACACGAGTATGCTTGTTTGGGTGTTTTCTATGTATATTATGTGTATATTAAAGAAATATATATATCTAAGTATTTATTTATATCCGTTATCTAGTACCAATAACACAAGCTCTGCTTACCGTAACTACGATTGTTTATATCGGTCTGGATGTTTTCTATGTATAATTATGTATTTACAAAAAAAAATCGATGTATTTGTACGTATTTAGTCCCCATAACACAAGCTTTAGCTCTCTTAATTTGAGTCTAGATGACGCTGTGTGAATTGTTTAGGGGGTATTATTATTATAATTACTATTCTATTGAGAGGGGTGGGAATCGTGGCGATAGGCAAGATGAGGGGAGGTTTTTCAAACATAGCAATTAAAAAAAATGTAATACACAAATAACAATGCAAACCGATCGTCAGTCAGTGTGTACGGCCAGTAATTAATGCATGTAATTGTATAACGTGCCCACGGCACTATCAATGAATGTTTTCCTGCAATTTTATTATTCGTCATACATAGAGAACTAATGGAAGTGTCGTGTATGTTTTAATTAATTTATTTTACCTTATACGCGTTAGTTTTCATTCGTTTTATCCTATCTAGGTAGACTGTAATTGTCTTTTTTATGCCATCTCCGCAAGTGCCGGTACTGCTCTCAGTTTCCCTCACAGCCACTAGATGGACCCGGCACCCGTACGGTGAATTCATGTAGTTATCTATTTTTAACCGAGTTTTTAAACTACAATGGTGGCAAACAAGCATACGGCCCATCTGATGGTAAACGGTTACCGTAGCCTATGGACGCCTGAAACACCAGTGGTGTCGCGTGCGCGTTGCCAACCCTTAAGGAACCTTCATATATCCTTGAAAAACCCCATGCTGTAGTCTCTCGAGACAACCTCGGTAGGTACTTCATTCCACAATCTAATAATACGCGGGAGGAAGATTCTGTTGTTTAATAGAAATAGAAATAATCTTTATTCAAACAAACTTAATATAAGCACTTTTGAATATAAGCACTTTTTGCAGATTCATCACAAGAAGAATAAGCAAGAAACTTGTGTGTTGCTCTAGCATGTGCGATAACATGTAATTATATAAAATACATTGAGCTATAGCATATAAAATTTCATCTAAATTAGTCCAGTCGTTTAGGTGGATATTAGGGACACACGCACGTACAAAAGAACGATATATATTAACATATGTAATTTATTCAGTTTAAACTTGATTCAGAATATAAATAAACAGCTACTGCGTCAACAGATTATCGTTTTAAAATTCAAAATAAACGTTATTTACAGTTTGTTATCGTTGCACCGGGCATCGAACCCCATAACAGTCCATTCAGTCGTATCCGCTAATAACTGGCCACGAGGAAAGCATCGACGGATAAAAGTGGTGGAATTTGGGTCAATAACACAGCCCGGAGCATGCATCTAATTTTAGTTTCAAATCTATATGAGATTTAAATTATAATACTTAAATTTATAAGCGGTACATCCATATACACTGATCTCGTAGTATCATCTCCAAATGTTCAGCAAACAACGGTAATAATTTTGAAATTAATAATAATAATCTCAGGACAATTAACACAGCACAATCTAGACCCAAGTTAAGCGAACAAAAGCTTGTGTTATGTGTACTAGACAACTGATACAAATACATAGATTTTTTTTCGTAAATACATTCATATTGTACGTAGAAAACACTCAGACCGACACAAACAATTATACTCAAGCATGCAAATGTTTGTGCGGTGCGAGAAATCAAACCCGCGACCATAGGAAGTAAGGCGGTGTGCTAAACCGCTAGACCACAGAGGCCGTCAAATAGATTAGATTAGAGAAAATTAGATCAGAGTTTGCCATTTATTTCGGGGCATGCCGTCAATAAAACTCGTGAAGCTATTTTAAATTGGCGACCTCTACGCACTCCCCTCTTTGGTTAATTTCTGACCTCATGCTCATCTTATCCAATAAATGTCCTTCGTCATAAAAATCCCCATCCCAATAAATCACAGGTCGTGGGAGGTGGTAATTCGGCGTTTCTTGTCAGATCTCTACAGATCTACAGGCCACGAAGGGTGGTTATTCTGAGTCTCGGCATATCTACAGGCCACGAAGGGTGGTTATTCTGAGTCTCGGCATATCTATAGGCCACAAAGGGTGGTTATTCTCAGTCTCAGATCTCGGCATATCTACAGGCCACGAAGGGTGGTTATTCTCAGTCTCAGATCTCGCCATATCTACAGGCCACGAATGGTGGTTATTCTGAGTCTCAGATCTCGGCATATCTTAACATACCTATTAACTTTATCTGACCGAAATTTGGTAACTGCAAGTTTATACTTGTATGTAGACGGGTTAGCACACCGTCTTACTTTCAATGGTCGCGGTTTGGATTCCTCGCATGGCACAAACATTTGTATTCACGCGTATGATTGTTTGTATCGTTCTGGATGTTTTCTATGTAAAATATTTATAAATATTAAAATAATAATAATTATAATCTCAGGACAATTCACACAGCGCCATCTGAACCCAAGTTAAGCTAGCTAAAGCTTGTATTATGGGTACTAGATAACTGATATAAATACACAGTTTTTTTTTCGTAAATACATACCTATTATACATAGAAAACAACCAGACCGATAGAAAGAACCATACTCATGAATACAAATGTTGGTACCGTGCGAGGAATCGAACCCGCGACCATCGGACGAAAAGCGGTGTGCTAAACCGCTAGACCACAGAGGTCGTCAAATATAACATAATAATTATTAAATAAATATAATATTAATATTAGTTGTCGAATATTCATAATACTAGCTCTGCTTAGCTTCGGACTACTAGCACAAGCATCTAGATTTATTTTGCAACTAAGTACTACTATAGTTGCAAAATAAATCTAGATGCTTGTGCATATCCAATATATGTGTAAATACAACATTTATATGCGTAAATTAGCCATTTATTCAACCACAACTGGATAAGGCAAAAGTAAACATATCACACCTAAGTGAACGTTACAATCCGTAAAAACACATAACTTTAGTGATACATACATTATATAATGGAATATATAAAAGAGCTACAATCATTGACGCCGAGCGATCTCTACAAGCTGATGACGGCGACGACGTCAGGGAAAACGTAATAGCTGAGAATGAATGGGGAAAAACCAAAAGCGTATCGACAGTATTGGCCGTAACTGATTGTAAATCAACGCAGACGAGTCGAGTTTGTTTGTTGTTATGCGATAGCGCACTATATTTGTAAGATTGCAATGGCTACAGAGGTTTTGACAAACTTGAAGTTAGGGTACTTGAATGACGAGTGTGCCTGGCAATAGTTGTTCATGTACTGAATTTTCATTTAATGTTAGACATAGACACCTATATAAAAATACATTGTAAATAAACTGGATTTAAAAAAAAAAATTCAATTGAGTTTCTTGCCAGTTCTTCTCAATTGGATCTATATACCGAACTGGACGGTAGGGAAAAAATAAAATTATAATGTTAAAATTTGACGTTCATAAGCGGCTAAAATGTCCTACATGAATAAATGATTTTTGAATTTTTAAGACGAAGCACATAAGCTGACTTATATAAGACTAACGGATCAGGAGTTACCTGACATTGAGGGTGACGCAGCTGGAATCGAGTCATAACGCGAGTTTCAAGACGTTTGTGGCCAGAGCTCCCACCAATATGCTGAGCACTTTCATAAAGGAGGACTGGCCGAAGGGTGTGGTGTATCGGTGCTACCGTGGCAGATTACCATCATCAGTGCCGTGATCACAGACAATTTATATTTCTTTTCTAATAATTATATTATTCTTATGTATGTTAGTTTATAAGGTATTTATAATATGGGCCATGTATCCTGAATTAAATAAATAAATAAAATAAAAATTAACATTAATACTAGATTTCAGAGATTAGCCGGAACAAATAGATAGGCCTGTCTATCTATTTGGCTGACAAAAATTATAAAAAATGTTATTTTGGTGTATACACCATATTTATAATCATATGCATGTAGTAAAAACGGTTATTTCAATATTACAAACAGACACTCCAATTTTATTTATATGTATACATTTCAAGTTTGAACTAATAGGTTTAAAAAATTAATAACAAGCTGATTATTGCAAGGTATGTAATGATTTTTGTTTTTGTCCAACAGATTCCGTTACGAATGCGAGGGCCGGTCGGCGGGTTCGATTCCCGGCGTGAACAGCACGCCGGAGAACCGGACGTACCCTACGATAAAGATATGCGGATACCGCGGCCGCGTCGTCATCGTCGTCTCCTGCATCACCAAGGAGGACCCCTACAAGTGAGATTTTTTTTTAATTTAGTAATACACAGTGGAATGAGTAGTCATGCTCACTAAAATGTCCAGACATGTGGCGGCGTGGTGGGCCGGGTCATCGGGCTCCCTAAAATATCGAGCGCAGTAATGGCTGGTTCATCCGTCATACTCGTGAACGAGTGCTGCTTGGGACTAGTCCGCTCTTATCACTACGACTGATTTAATCTTATTGTTTATTTATATTTGACACTAATAAATTAGTGCTGGTTGGTAGTTTGTATTCACACGTTTCGACCTGTATAATGTGAACTTACAAGGATCATTTAAAAGAGCAGCATAAGTGCTTGCTCGTTCTTCTTGTGATGAGACATTTCTCAGGTAAGTACCAAAACAGATACGTCAATAAATACCCTAAACTTGACCCTTATAATACATACCGCCAACTACAGAAGGCTGTAGTTCTAAACACATGCCGCATTGTTAGAAATTTCTACAAACAGATTAGGCCAACATTTATTATAATGTAAATGTTGGTCTGATCTGTTTGTAGAAATTTTCTAAAACAGATAAAATAATTTTATATATATAATATATTCATTCACCTAAAATTAGAACATTGTTGTGTACTTGGCTTAGGCCCGTACATACTAAGATTACCGGCGAAAGTCGAGAGAAAATATAATAATATACATATATTTTGCAAAAAAAAAACAACATTAAATTAATATTGCAGTATGTATACATGAATGAACACATACACACATCGCCACTGCTATGCAGTAAAACAATAATTAAAACTGATACACTACTACTAACGAGTATTTGCTAAACAGGACTCCTTTCAGTGTTTTTTTTTTTATTTATTTAACTTTAATGCACATAAACAATGTGTACATATGGCGGACTTAACTCTAGCGGCGTTATCTACCAGGCAACCATAAGTGGTGCAGAGAAAGATTGTTGGCGGTGCACTAATATAAATGAGAAATGACAAAAAAAAGATACTTATATATATAAATATAAAGCAAAATATTTTAAATATAAATTTCATTAAAAATTAATAATAATAATAAACATACATAAATAAATGTATAAATATAAACATAGATATAAAAATATTATATATAAATAAATACATAATCTGTATGTAAAAATATGATCTGATAATCAAATTATAAGTACAGCCTCAAATTGAAAGTAAGAAAATATATATATATATATCTCTATATATAGAGAGAGAGAACTATAGGGAAATAACAAAAAGATGTGTAAAAGGTAGAAAGACAGTAAAAAAGTTACAAATTTAGATAATGTTCTCGCAATTTCTGTTTAAACGAAATTTTACTCGTGGCGGTCTTGACATCAAGAGGTAAGTCATTCCAGAGTTTGATTACCTGAACGGCGAAAGAATAATGGATCAAGCCGGATAAATGAGCCGGGATATGAAGTAAGAATTTTCTGGTAGTCCGTAGAGATTTATTTTTTTTATTTTAGGTAATCAACAGCTTATACAATTTATAGATATTGCTTTCAAATCCTGTAATGGTCATTCCGGCCCGGCCGTATGTATGCCACTATTGTGGTAAATATAAAAGTATTTCGTCAATATTATTACTGAAACATGTAGAATTAGTATAAATGAATAAACACTCTGTTACTAAATAACTAGTGAACGTTCATGTAATGACAGGAAATGTCGCATGTGCATATTGCGGCATTTGTCACAAAAGCTGAATAAAATATGATTGTCCAAAAACTATTATTAATATCAATAGGTTACAGTACCAGAAAAATAACCCTGGATAATCCACACAGCTTCATCTAGTCCCAAGATAAGTAAAGCTTGTGTTTTGGGTGCTAGACAAGTCATATATGTTTTTTTTTTGAGGATGATAAAGGAATGATATCTCTACCTGCGCTAATGGTTTAAAGATGATAAGATGAGCATGAGATCAGATAGCCCAGCGTGACAAATTCACAGGGAATCACGATGGTTTCCAGGGGGCGCTAACGGGGCACCAGTGGAAGATGATAAGATGAGCATGAGGTCAGATCAGTTAGCCCAATGTGACAAATTCACAGGGAATCACGATGGTTTCCAGGGGGCGCTAGCGGGGCACCAGTGGAAGATGATAAGATGAGCATGAGGTCAGATCAGTTAGCCCAAGGTGACAAATTCACAGGGAATCACGATGGTTTCCAGGGGGCGCTAACGGGGCACCAGTGGAAGATGATAAGATGAGCATGAGGTCAGATCAGTTAGCCCAACGTGACAAATTCACAGGGAATCACGATGGTATCCAAGGGGAACCGCGTGGAGGTCAACCTGACACGGTACATTGCTAGCAATGGGATCATTAGTCCACATTACTAAAAATTCCTTTCCCCCCATTCATATATGTTAGAATTAAGTTTCTAATATAACAAAACGTAATGTCAGCACATAAGCAATCAATGTAACAAACGTAGTAACAAAACGTAAACAAAAATATGTATGATAAGTTGTATTAAAAAAAAACTACTCTTTGTCTGAAAGTCAACGTGTTTCAATAATATATATACTATAATAATAATATCAGGACAATTCACACAGCGCCATCTACTCCCAAGTGAAGCTTGTGTTATGGGTACACACAGACCGATACAAACAAGCATCCTCATAATAAGAATCAAGCATACTCATCGAATACAAATGTTTGTACCGTACGAGGAATCGAATTACCGACCCTCGGAAGAAAAGCGGTGTGCTAAACCGCTAGTCCATCGAGGTCGTCAATTATATAAATCAGCAATCAATCACCGTATCATCTATTTATAATAAAATTGGAGTGTCTGTTTGTAATATTGAAATAACAGTTTTTTACTACATGCATATGAATATAAATACGGTCTCTGTCTGTTCTTGCTAATCTCTGAAATGGCTGGACCGATTTTGACGGGACTTTTATTGGCAGGTAGCTGATGTAATAAAGAGTAACTTAAGCTACTTTTATTTTAGAAAAATAAAGTTAAATTCTACACGGACGAAGTCACGGGTACAGCTAGTAAGATATACCATTGCTGCGCATGTTTGCGCAGTGTGTTCTGCGCAGATGCAGCAGGTCTTTCCTGATCCTGTACCATATTATTTTTGTTGCAGACCTCATCCCCACAACCTGGTGGGGCGGGACTGCCACCGGGGCGTGTGCACGGTCCGGGAGACGATAGACAGTGACACGTGTCAGGTGCAGTTCAAGAACCTGGGCATCCAGTGCGTCAAGAGGCGCGACATCGCGGAGGCGCTGCGGGTCAGGGAGGAGTTGAGGGTCGACCCGTTCAGAAGTGAGTTTATAACTTATATATATATATTGGTCGACGACCTCGGTGATCCAGCGGTCTAACACACCGCTTTACGTCCGATGGTCGCGGGTTCGATTCTTTACACGATACAAATATTTGTTTTCATGATTGTTTGTATCAATCTGGGTGTTAGATCACTGTAAAGTTTCAACAAAATCAGTTCAGTAGTTTTTACGTGAAAGAGTAACAAACATCCATCCATTCTCACAAAGATCGCGTTTATAGTATTAGTAAGATATACGATTGCCTCTCGTGTTTGCATCGAATAAATACTGGAGATGCGCATCGCAATGTTATACAAACAAACAGTCATAAAGAGATGCCTCTCGTTTTATATATATCAACTAGCTGTAATTCGTCCGCGTGGAATTTAACTTCATCTTTCTAAAATAATAGTCGCCTAAGTTACTCCTTATTACATCAGCTACCTGCCAACAAAAGTCCCGTCAAAATCGGCCCAGCCATTTCAGAGATTAGCCGGAACAAACAGACAGACAGAGAAAAAATTGCAAAAGATGTTATTTTGGTGTATGTACCGTATTTATATGCATATGAAATGCATGTAGTAAAAACGGTTATTTCAATACAGTGGACCCGCGGTAATCCGGCCCCCCTTGTAATCCGACATTGTCTATTATTTGTTACTGAATATTACTTCGACAATATACGTCAGAGTGCATATACATACATACATATATAACATAGAATCTTATCACTGGATCTGTAATTTATCGGATTACGAGATACTCTTTTGTAAAAAATTCCGGACTATAGGGGACCCTTAGGCAGTACTCTATAATGCAACAAATTCTATGGTCCGACACTGCCCTGCAAAACGTTTGTCGGAAAACCGGGGATCCACTGTATAACCAACAGACACTCAGACAGAGTCATAGTATAAAAAATAGCTATCGCTGTCTGTCCCTATATATGCTTAAATCTTTAAAACTACGCAACGGATTTTGAAGCGGTTTTAATAGATAGAGTGAATCAAGAGGAAGGTTTATATATATAATACATGTACAACTGTGCGAAGCCGGGGCGAGTAGCTAGTGGGTTATAAATTTTAGTCTAGTGAAACCGCGGGCTCAGCTAGTGATGGATATGGATAGGGCGCGTGTAGTGCCCGTGCGCCGGTGCGGCGGCCTAGTGAAACCGCGGGCTCAGCTAGTGATGGATATGGATAGGGCGCGTGTAGTGCCCGTGCGCCGGTGCGGCGGCCTAGTGAAACCGCGGGCTCAGCTAGTGATGGATATGGATAGGACGCGTGTAGTGCCCGTGCGCCGGTGCGGCGGCCTAGTGAAACCGCGGGCTCAGCTAGTGATGGATATGGATAGGGCGCGTGTAGTGCCCGTGCGCCGGTGCGGCGGCCGAACAATGCGGATATTTAGAGCACGCTATTTCGGGCTTCGCTGACGCCCCGCGCCTGCGGTCGCTCAGAAACGATGCTACGCGTTGGAATGAGCCAATTATTTGCAAACTACATCCGATTTCATAACCGCTCTTGTGCGTACGTACACACAACAAAGTATAAATCGACTTTTTTAAAATAATAGTAATAATAATCTCAGGACAATTCAAGAAAGAAAGAAGAAAGAAAGAAAAATATTTTATTCAGTGCAATGTAAAAAATACAATATAAACAACAAAAAGATCAAATAAAATGTACATATAATTAAACTTAATTTACAATAATTAAAAAATAAACTCATCACACATTCACACATCTAGACCCAAGTTAAGCTAGCTAAAGCTTGTGTTATGGGTACTAGATAACTGATACAAATACATATAGTTTTTTTCGTAAATACATACATATTATACATAGAAAATACCCAGATTGATACAAACAATCATACTCATGAATACAAATGTTTGTGCCGTGCGAGGATTCGAACCCGCAACCATCGGACGTAAAGCGGTGTGCTTGATTGCTAGACCACCAAGGTCGTTAAATGACCTTCAAAATTTACTAAAAGAAATGAAAAAGTTTGTTTCTGTTAGAAAATAAATATATACGAGTAATTTTTGGCTCGACTACGTCGAAACACAGATGGTTTTTGTTTGATGGTAATGGAATGGTGCGCTAACGGTTTATACTGGTGGGGCACCAGTACTGGATGATGAGCGTAAGGTAAAGTCAGTTAGCCCAGTGATAAATTCATCAGGAACTTATCACAATGGTTTCCAAAGGTACTATACATGAAGATCACGTAGGTCAACCTGTTATTATTTATTATTATTAATCCACATTACCAACAATTCCATACCTTTCTATAAGGATGAGGATTATGATTGTTTGTGCGAAGGTTTGTTACCTCTTAAATAGAAAAGAATAAAATCATTTATTCAAATAAACTTAATTTAAGCACTTTTGAATAGTCATAACAATTTGTTTTTAACCTACCGCTCATTCGGAAAGCTGTCTCATCACAAGAAGAACGAGCAAGAAACTTGTGCGTTGCTCTTTTAAATAATCCTTGTAAGTTTACATTTACAAGTCGAAACGTGTGAATACAAACTACCAACCAGCACTAATTTTTTGGGTCACATATAAATATACAATAAGATTAAATCAGTCGTTTTTTATTTTTTGTTTAAGATTAATTCTAAGATACTATATTCGACAGTTCAGGTGTCGTTGGTAGTTTTAATATTAAAAATAGAAATAGAAATATGTAACGTAACTAGCTTTTGCTCGGTTAATTTATCCCCTTAGGGGTGGAATTTATCAAAATCCTATCTTAGGGTATGCCTACGTCATAGTAGCTTTATGCATGCAAAATGTCAGCCCGATCGGTTTAAAATTGACAAAGTTTCATCCCCTATTTTATCCACTTGGGGGTAGAATTAATCAAAATCCTTTCTTAGCGGATGCCTACGTTATAACATCTACCTGCATGCCAAATTTCAGCCCGATCCGTCCAGTGGTTTGGGCTGTGCGTTGATAGATCACTATGTCAGTCACCTTTGTGTTTATATATATATATATATATTTTGTCTAAAGTAAATAATTAATTTAGTGGCCGTAACCCGAACATACCATTATTCATAAATTATTAGACAGATTTTGATAAAATTAAAACAACACGCAAGTTTCTTGTTCATTCTTCTTGTGATGAGTCAGCTTATGAGCGATAGATTGAAAAAAAATGATGACTATTCAAAAGTGCTTCAGTGTAAATCTATACATCTATACATTTAAATAAAATTGGAGTGTCTGTTTGTAATATTGAAATAGCCGTTAGCCTAAATAATTTTTTTACTACATGCATATGCATATAAATACGGTACATACACCAAAATAACATTTTTTTGCCATTTTTGTCTGTCTGTCTATCTGTTTGTTTCGGCTAATCTCGGCAATGGCTGGACTGATTTTGACGGGATTTATTTTTGGCAGGTAGCTGATGTAATAAGGAGTAACTTAGGCTACTTTTATTTTAGAACATTCTTTTATTGTAGAAAGATTTTTTAAAGTAAAATTCCACGTGGATAAAGTCGCGGGAACAGCTAGTTCTAAATATGTCTGAGCCCACATTAGCCGTACTTACTTCAAAATATTTATTTTACCATACCCATCTGGTATCATCAAAATCGGTTCACTTAGAAAATCTGATCTGATCTTCGCCAATCTGCGTCAGATTTACAAATTGAGTATGCCCTTCATCCATTATCATTCCTCATTCCTCATCATTCATCAATCCATCATATTTTTTCGGAATACTCTACTACTGTTGTCCGCAGCTGGCCTTTACAGCTTCACCGGACGATAGGGGGCGAGTGCAGATGGCACTCCAAACCCGCGGAAGGACTTATGGAGCGGCTGAAGGCCAACTCCCGCCTGACGGAATTAAAAAATCTGTTACGAATTTGTGGTCATTATTTTTTTTTTTATTAATTGAATTTTGTCCTCAGCCCGCTATGCCCACAAAAATCAGCCGCAGAGCATAGATCTCAACGCCGTCCGGCTCTGCTTCCAAGTGTTCATGACCGACGACACGGGTAAAGTGAGGCAGACCCTCACGCCAGTCGTCTCCGACGTCATCTACGACAAGAAAGCTATGAGCGAGCTGCAGATCGCGCAGATCAGCCACTGCTCAGGGTCCGCCAAGGGCGGCACCAGGGTCATACTGCTCTGTGAGAAGGTGAGTGCCACTTGTTTATGATGGAGACTCGTTTAAACAGGGTAGTCCTTTTTATTTATTTATTTATTTAATTAACACAATGTAACGGCAAAAGAACGACGCTGGGGTGGTTCACCCCAGCAGAATGCCCGGGCAAGGAGAGCAAACTCTGGACCTGAACTCAGCGGTCCATAAGGGCCTGCGGATGATCCTGCTGCTACCAAGGAAATTGCAAATGCATTTATTTAATTAACACAATATAAACTTTCAGCTAATTGCCAACACATTTATATTTTAAAACTATTTATACTACTTAAAATTATACGATGATAAATATATTCTTATTTTAGTAATTATGGAAGGCAAGGCTTCTGTATAAACGCCAGCATCTTAGACCTTACCTAAAAATAAATTTAATAATTGCAATGCTCAATTTTAATTCAAATGGGATAAGATTTTGTTTCCTGCGCGTGTTTATTTTGCAGATCCATATTTTTTTACAAATAAACTAACGGCCCGCCCGATGGTAACTATCTGCTATATTCCATATTCAAATTCAAAATATCTTTATTAATGTAGGTCTATTACAGACTGTTATCATATGTCAAATATACAGTCAGTTCGGAATGATTTCGAGATGAGAAGAACTGACAAGAAACTCAGCTCGTATTCTTTTCAAATTAATATTATACATGCTTACAATAATACAGATTCATTTTTAAATTCAAATTTGAGAGAATAGAGTGACCACCATATGCTATTGCAAAAGCAATTAAAGTCATTTAAATAAAAAATAAAAAATAATTCCTTCTATATAAGCTTTCTACATAGTTTTTCCTTTTTACATATAAAATAAAATATTATAAAATTACATACATACTGTAAGTATGTATGTCATTTTATCTTATAATGTATAATCCATGTAAAATAAAATAAAATTATGTAGTAAAGTATATTACGTTGTATGTATCGGTACGTCAATGAAAGAATGTAATGGTTTATTTTTTTATTTAAACTAAAATTAATGAAATTATATGGAATAATTATTTATTATATATATTGCACTTACAATTTTACAATTTGGTGTGGTTAGTGCCAATAATATTTAAAATATACTTTTTCATGTGTGTATATGTTTTCGTACATATAGTTTATATTGTATTTTCCTTTTTAATATACATAGTTTTTTAAATTCTATATAGCACAAAGGAAAATACAAAATCATTGTTTTACAAAACTATACGTTCCATCCCTTCAAGGGTGAAACATTTATTTCTAAACAAAGTCTACCGGGGAAAATATGTAATGATCACCTTCGAAAATGAACTCTCGTGAATGCTATCAAGGTTCAATTTTGTATATATAATGTGTGTACACCATGCTATGTTCAGGTGAACCGCGAGGATACAGCGGTGGTGTTCTTCCAAGAGGAGAACAAGAAGGTGGTTTGGGAGGAGCGCGCGCACATCGAGGCGGTCCACAAACTGGTCGCCATCGTGTTCCAAACACCGCCCTACAGGCATCCGAACACCACTGAACATGTCACTGTTAGTACACCTTGCAGATTTTTTTAAATAGAAATAGAAATAATCTTTATTCAAATAAACTCATTACAAGCACTTTTGAATAGTCATATTTTGATTCTACCATTCATTCGGAATGCAGATTCAAGAAACTTGTGTGTTGCTCTTTTTAATAGATGTTTTTTTTTTATATAAATATTTACAGTATAACAAGTAAGAGGCATGCGATAATCAATATAGAAGTCGCTACGCACTCATTATTAATGTAATTAGATAATATTGTCAGTGCTATAGATTTAAAGTTTTTCTATAAAAACATTATTATCGTTAACGAATTCTTCAATTTTATAGCAGATTTTAGAGGATGATAATGGAATGGTGCACCCGCCTGCGCTAACAGTTTACGCTGGCAGGGCACCAGTGGAGGATGATAAGATGAACATTAGGTCAGGTCAATTAGCCCGTGATAAATTCAACTGGAATTTATCTATATGGTTTCCAGGGGGGACCGCGTGGAGGTCAACCTGACGTGGTACATTGCTAGCAATGGGATGATTAGACCACATTACTAAAATCCCCTTCTCTCCTACACCTTGCAGATTATATATATATAGAATACTGTCTGTCCCGTCATATACATTTAAGTACTAATATCGCTATGAATAATAGAGTTTTGTTTTAAAGGCCAATTTATTTACTACGATTATTCATATAGGTCTAACATTAAAAGAAAATCCCGTACTTGAACAACTATTGCCATGATTGTGTATGACTGTGTTTGTATGATGTATACGCAGGTGCAACTGCAGCTGCAACGACTGACGGACAACGCGCGCAGCAGCCCCGTCAGCTTCGAGTACATCCCGGCGCGGCTCTACTCCCCAGGTGCTCGCAAGCCGCTCCCCGACCTCGGGCTCCTCGCCAGGCTCCTCGACGGCGCCGCCCCCCCAGCACCCCCAGCACCAGACACCAACAACAACAAACCTTTACTCGACCGCGACGCCGCCCTCGTCAGTTCCACTAGTGATTCCCTCGACGCGGCGGAACCCTCGTCGGACGAAGGTTCCGCCGCCGTCGCAGACATCAACGGGAACCTCGAGGACGAGGCCGAGCCGATGGATATCCCCGACCCGAACGAAAAGAGTCTGAACGACCTTCTAGATCAGGTCGCGGAACTGGACGAGATCTACTCGGAGAATCGCACGCGTCTCGAAAACGTTTCGTCCCTGACCAACGATCATGAGACCGATCTGGAGGACTTCAACGATGCCGGGACCTATACTAGCCTCCAGTTAGCGTTTAAGAACCCCGTACAGATCACGGAGCCCGAGTACCTGCCGTACGAAGACGTACAAGTGCAGTCGTACCGCGGCCCCACCATAGAGTTCACTTCGCTGAAACGCGAACCGGAAGCGGACAGAGCGCCGCCGCTTCCGCCGAAGCGCGTGCGCAAGCCGCCGCCGGAAACGTTTAAGACCAGTCAGACGTCCGTGGACAGCATCCTGAAGCCGGGCCGACAGCTGCCCATCACGCGGAACCCCCCGGAGATTGTGAAGCGTAACCGCACCGAGCTGTCGGTGGCCAGGAGCGAGCCGGCGCTCCCGCCCGTGAAGAAGCGATCGTTCTTCTCCCGTCTGTTCAGACGGAAGGAGAAATCGCCGGCTCCGAGCGTTCGCTCCGAGGGGAAGAAGGAGAAGACCAAGCCGGTGGGACGGTCCATCAGCAGCGTCTCCGGCGTGAGGCCGGCCAAGTTCAAATCGAACGTATCCTCGCTGAAGGACAACGCGTCCGCCACCGGACTGAGTTACGCAGATAGCGTGACACATATATCTTTACACGGCGATGATAACGAGCGGTCGGCTTCGGCCTGGTCCTTGCGGAGACCAGCCAGCTTAGCGCCTCTTCCACCGACGGATGGAGATACGATCCTGGTGGCGGAAAGCGTGCTGGCACTTGACGCGTCGAGCTTTAAGAAGCTTCAGGATGACCTGGATCTGACTGAGGCGGAGCATTACGCGCTATACATGGCGGTGGCACCGCATGCCACGGTTTCGGAGTTTGACGAGACCAGTTGCTACTACTCGCCGGTAGATGGCAGCAAATTTCAAAATCAATGATTTCTCCTACACAACAGTCGTGCGCGAATAAACGAATCGGAACAGATTGAAAAATATTTCTTTCTACGTATAAATACATCGTATATCCGTAATGATTTTATACTCTGTTGGTTTAAACTTGGTATATTTAGCTGAGAAAGTCTTTCTTTTTACTGAAATAACACAAAGAAATACAAGTTAGAAATCAAATTAAATTTGTTTAATCCGAGCCACTAGATTCTAACATTGAAATATAAACATACGCAAATACTTTGGTCAGTTAACAATATAGCAAGTGTTCCGTTTTACACGACATCACTGATGACTCCATATCGTAATCCGGTCGTGATAATATATATATACTAATTGCGCCCGCGACATCGTCCGCGTAAAATGACGATACTTCCATATAACCTTTCATCTTTCAACCTCTTACAACCCTTTTTTCGCATTAAAAAGCAAAAACCCTTTGTCAGGGTCTAGACTATCTATGTACCAAATTTCATTTAAATCGGTTCAGTGGTTTCGGCGTGAAAGCGAAACAGACAGACAGCGTTACTTTCGCATTTATAATATTAGTAAGTAAAGGATATACAACAGTTAATTTAAGCCATTGTTATTTCTGTAAAATGATATGCTAAGATTAAATTAACCCTGTATGAATTAACTGAGTATAAATTACTCCTTATCTCTGAACTAACTAGTCGAGTATGTACAACATTCTTGCTATACTCTAGTCAATTTATTCACAATTTTATATACTCGTATACATTATATAACGACCTATTTATAAATGTATACAAATCTAATCAATAATGAAATAAAAAACAAAACATTTCTTATTTTATAAATACTCGATATAAAACGTCAAACTTGAATTTATTTTTACTAAAAATTTTCTTCGTAATAACGTCAAGGTGGAAAAAGAACTCTAAATCGATACCTAGATGGTTGAAAATGAAGTAACAAAAAGTTTGATTGCCCTTAGCACCACTGCTAAGGGCAATCAAACTTTTTGTTACTGAGAGAGTGAAAGAGAAGTGTTCGAGAAGTGAGACAAGAAATACTATTGTCGTATATTACCGTTACACGTATGTGTATACGATACGTACGAATTTAAATACTCAATCGGTAACCCCATTCCTGCCATTATCTATGCCAAATAGTCTTACATTTTATACGAAACAGTCGAGTAAAGGTTTGGTGAGTCTTTCCCAATGTACTTCCTCTCTTTATAGTACTTAAGTAATATCTAAAATATTGTATCGACAAAAAAAACATAAAAAAAATCTATACTAAGCTAAGCTACATATAATGTAAAAGAATTAACAAATTAATTTCATTATTTAGCCAATAAATATGAAATTACTGTTTTTAATAGTTTATTAAAGTATAAATTTCATTATTAGTACATTAATGAAATTAATTCGCAAATAATGAAAATAAGTTTGGTATTAATAGTTTATTAAAGCATACATTTCATTATTAGTAATTTAACGATATTAATTCGGAAATAATGGAAATTACTTTAATGATAACTGCATTATGTTAACTCAATTAATATGTTCTAGATTCGGGGTACATTGATAGTAAAAAACGGAAACGCCCGCCCTCGATATTACAAGAGTACGAACATGACCGTAAGTTCAATTCATACATTACATACATTTGTATGTATTCTATTTTTCAGACATATATCACTAGCTGCTCCGCGCAACCTCGTCTGCGTTTCATTTCCCCACCTTTTACAATATTTTCCATTGCAGCTCCGCTCCTATTGGTCGTAGCGTAATGTTATATAGCTTAAAGCCTTCCTCGACAAATGGACTATCCAACACATAAAGAAATTTTCAATTCGAACCAGTAGTTCCTGAGATTGGCGCGTCCAAACAAACAAACAAACTTTCAGCTATATAATATTAGTACAGGTTACGGTTCCTGAAAACGGGGGTGAACGGGTTTCGGAGCATTGTCTTTTATTGTTACATTGGGATCTGTCCGGTGATTAGTATTTATTTATTTAAGTTATTTATATAGTAAATAAGCATCGCCTAACAATATTGTTATATAAATATTAATTTATACATATTATTCTGTATTTGTTTAATTAAAATGTAACACACGGTGATGGTTTTACTAACAATAATATATTTATTTTGTCAAAGTTAAAGATTTATAAAAAAGGTAATGTTGTATGTGACAATACAAACTCGACTCGTTTTTGGACGAAGCTTCGCATCAACCAATGCCTTTATCAGCTTCAACTGGCCTTCCCGAGGGTGGTGCATCTTCGACATCAAAATTGCCGGATCGAAATTTAGGGAACCAGTTCTGGCACTAGCGTACTGTTCACACTTCTTCTCCACACACATCGGTCAATTTCTTTCTGGCTTGAACAGTATTTTTGCCCTTTCTGTAGTAAAACAGTAAGATATGTCGAAAATGCTGCTTATTCCTCTCCATATTTAAAAGGGTATCAACCAAAAACTACAGCGTAGAATTAATTGAGAATTTTCACCTTGCCTTGTTATATGAGCTCTCAAAACATATAAAAATTATACAGCTTAAGTGTGAAGTTCAGTGCAAATAATACAATTAAATCCTAAGTTAGGAAAAAACTAAATTACTTTCCGAACAACTTAATAAATTGTACTTTACGAAATTATAGCTGTTTAGTGTTAGAAAATTATTTATATTTTAAATATTTATAATCGAGTTTTTTATGGAAAGGTCATGTTAAAAACTGTAAATGTTTTTTATCTCATAATTGTTAGTTTATCGCGCAGACGCATTAGACTAATAATTTTATCCGAGTCACTGTTCACAAGCCGCCATCTTGTGCCCCACTACATTTGTAGAATCGGAATTGATAATATAATTAAATGAAAAAAACATGAAAAATTTATGACGAATATTATGAATTATTCTAAATTAATTTATTTTCGTTACTTCTCATCCGCACAATCATATAATACGTAGACACAAATCAGCCGCTCCATAAGTCCTTCCTTTGGTTTGGAGTGCCATCTGCACTCGCCCTCTATAGTCCGGTGGAGCTGTAAAGGCCAGCTGCAGCCAACAGCATTAGAGTATTCCGAAATAATTGACGCAAATCAACAATATTACCTTTTTTATACTTTTTCGTGCTAAGTAATTACTCATATGTGGTTTATACCTTCTTAGAGTCTAAGGGTATGTATGAATGCTTATAACATAGGAGCACGAAACAATGTGCTTAAAAAATTGGTTTTGGTTTATGGTTAAGACTAAATTTGAGATTTATGGTTAGCAATTTTTTTCTGATAAAATCAAAAATCATTTATTCATATAGAAAATTTTAACGTTAAGTTTTTTGTATTAATATTTTTTCCCTGCCGTCCAGTTCAGTATACAGATTCAATTGAGAAGAACTGGCAAGAAACTCAACTGGATTTCTAATTTTTATGTTTATTTACCATGTTTATTTCTATTCGATGAAAATTAAATAGGGGTTGCTTCAGTAGGGGTGATATTGTTTTGTAGTTTCTATTGTCTGTTAGATATTTCCTTGTTTTGTCATTTATTTACTAAGTTATTTATTATTTATTTTAACATAATAATTAAGTAGGTGAATTTATTTAATATTCTATTTGAAATGTTGATTTTTATGAGCACTAAGTATAATTAATAATTAGATCTGTGTTATAACTTACTGGAAAGGGATAAAATACAAACTTTTGTATGAATTACTTAAAGTAATATATCAAATTCATTGATGGGAATGTAATAGAATTACAAACATACAAAGAAACCCCCATATTCATTGAAACACTTAATAATAATAAATAAACTTATTTTTATCACGCTGTCCTCTTCTCTCGCACTATTTTCTTAATTAGAAAGAAAGTGACAAAACACTATTTTTAGTAAATATTACTGACCCACCAGGGTGCTCAGAATTTTGTGTCTTTTATATATTAACATAATACGACCTCGATAGTTTAACGGTTTAGCATATCGCTTGGTCGCGAGTTCCATTCCTCGCACGATACAAACATTTGAATTCATGAGTATGATTGTTTGTATCGTATGTGTTTTCTATGTATAATATGTATGTATTTACGAAAAAAATATATATCTATATATTTGTATCAGTTGTCTAGTACCCATAACACAAGCTTTAGCTAGCTTAACTTGGGTCTAGAGGGCGTTGTGTGAATTGTCCTGAGATTATTATTATTTATGTCAGTCGTCTAGAACCCATAACACAAGCTCTGATTGTCTTGGTACTAGATGGCGCTGTATGACTTGTTTAAGGTTATTATTATTATAATATATATCTCTGTCTCTCTTCAATATCATTTTCAAATTGGCGCAGTGCTTCCAAAGTTTATTTTCTTCATAACAAAATTAGTTTCCCCTCTATCTCTTTTCGTACAATCCTTATATATAAAAATTACGTGTCACGTTGTTTGTCCGCGTTGGACTGCAAATGTGCAATGTGATCCAACTCGAAAGATAGGATAGCTTACATCTCAATTTATAGTCGCAATATTATTTTATTCAAGAACCTTAGCCACAACACGTGGCCGGTCTGCTAATGTCAGTATAGATGAATATGGGGGTATATCATTGTATTTATATATGCTGAGAGAGTCGCTATGTATGTCATAGTGTAACTGCTCTGCAGTGCAAAGTGCTATAAGTACAAAAACAATGTTTTCGCGCAGCCTCTAGGTGCTAATTTGGATATGTGTGTTGTTAACAAAATGTTATAAGAAAAAAGTATTTCGAATAGTACCGAGTAACCAAGCTTATATCTAAGGAAATATATATTTTATGGCCTATATACGTTATATATTGTATTACGTGGAAATTATACTTACATAGACAAATATAATTGAATTAAAAAAAAAAGCCCCCGACATATAGCGTCTGCTAGAAAATGAGCCGTTTTGAAAAGGTTTCAGTAAATTATAGTTAGGATATATAATATTTAAAAAGAGCATAGAGTCAGTCCATCTATAATCATAGTGCCACAGACAAAGGACTAGATACTTTTTTTTTTTGTCGGGGGTTAGAAATGCTCTGTAAGAGATTCTCTGTCAACACTAACGAATTGCCTCCTCAAATAAATTTATTGTAAATGCATCACATATAAAATTTTAACATATGATACATATCTTGAATTATATAGAAGAATATTTATAATACTTTTTAGATAAATTTACATTGTAGACAACGGGAAATATAATTTAGATCAGTTTAGAAAATGGTCAGTGACAAAATTATTCAATTTTTGTTTTATATTTGTATGAAAAAGTATATAGATGTATGGGTTGCATTCT